AAAAATGGAAAAAAGGATCAATCAATGATCTCTCAGAAGGCCTGTAGACTCCAAAGGGTTAATCCTATTTTCATATTTTTTCGTGGAAAAGTGAGCCTCTGGTCTAGACATCTTAAAAAGATATTTCAACCCCCTTTGTGACTAACCTCCCTCTGTGGTTAGGTAGCAGTGAGGTTACTCTTCCTAACTTCCTAGCGATACATATTTTGGTGTTCTGGGCGCTGGCAACCAAGGGCTAGACAGCGCGAATAGTTCACATGCGCGCGACCCCGTGCGATGCGGGAACACATGCGGCAGAGTCCCTCCGCAATGAAATTACACACGGGAGTTGCACAGCACCAGCAGCCCCGCTACACCGGGCCTATGGTATAATATGCTATGGGTAGAAGTGGAGGATAGGGGCCAGAGGGGCAGACGACAGAGTCCCATGACGAAAAAAAAAAAGAAGGTGAGACTAGTCGAACAGACACAGCAGGAGACCAAACACCGGTTTCCACCGCGTTTTCTCACGAAACGACACGACAAAATTAGATGAAGAAGGTCCGCATGTACAGAAAGTCCGAGGAGTACATACGTCCAGCAGTAGCTTCGATTGTAGATGCTTCGGCCGGGTCATCTCTACACCTGTAGATCTACAGCACCCCTTGCCAATTTCCACAAATCTCCCAGTTTCTTTACGAAACTTTNGACACGACAAAATTAGATGAAGAAGGTCCGCATGTACAGAAAGTCCGAGGAGTACATACGTCCAGCAGTAGCTTCGATTGTAGATGCTTCGGCCGGGTCATCTCTACACCTGTAGATCTACAGCACCCCTTGCCAATTTCCACAAATCTCCCAGTTTCTTTACGAAACTTTTACCAGCATGGCAACAGTCAGCGCCAACTCTTTGGAGGTGTCCATCGAGTCAGTAATATTCTCGTCGTACACGCTCCTCTCGGCTATCGTCCTTGTCATCTACTACAGGCACAAGGACTATTTGGACTCCCGCGTCAACAGGATGATTGCCGTCACCTTTGGCCTGTTCCTGATGCTCTGCGCCATGACCCACCTGTAAGCGGGCGTCGGAGCCACCAAGGCAATGTTGTTGCTGTAGGTATTCATACTACCCCGTTGTTCAGTCTGTTCCTGGACGGGTGTCTGCTTCGCGAAGATGGGAACACATACTGCAGACAGATTAGAAAAACTCGTGACATTTGTTTGGGTGGGTTGATTCCATCCACATGTCCAGCAGCACTCCTTAATTTCTGGCGCCTACGTAGCTGGGCGAAGAACAATATTCACCACCGTTCATCATTTACATAGCTAAAGGCTGACGTGTATTTCAGTACATACATGTAGTTTTGGTTGTTCTGCTCTTATTTTCTGTCTCATCACATCAGATGCTCTCCTTTCGTGCCTTTCCCATCGCCGCTGTTTACTGTTGGTCAAATACTATGCACATACCACCGGATCGCTTCGCCTCCTTGTTCAACCCCACACGATTTCTTCGCAGGCGTGCTATCTGGTACGATCACATCAGCGTGCCCCTCTCTGGTTCGTGCGCGGCCGTGTCCTTCATCGCGGCCGTATGCGCCCTCTGCCGTGTCCAAAGCCTCGATGACTATCTCACGCTCCGAATATCCACCTCCAAGATCCTTCGAGAACGTACAATCCAGAATCTCACCGAGGGGTATGATCTGAGATGCGTCGCCATCGACAATAAACTGGTCACAGGATTCATCAAGGGCTACACCGGTGGTTTTCCGGTGGAGTTCAATGGGGGGATAGACATCGGCAACATAATCAAGATGGGAGATAGGTTCTTTCGGGTGGTGAGCGCGGTCATGAACACCATGCAACACAGGTATGTGTTGGCTGCTGGCTGCCGCAGTGTCCCGTACTCTTTCGGCATGAATGGTCATCCTCAATCCAAGCTGAGCTACTTGTACACTATCTGAGATCAATCGTGCTATCGCTCTGCTGGAGGTAGGTCTGTTCCAACCGCTATATGTACCACATTGTAGTTTGGACACTTCAGAACTCCGGATTCGAAACAAAGCATTGTGCTCACAGTAATAAATCGGAGATACCCTTCAACGTGTGTGTAGCAGGGCTGAGTATCTGTTTCTTAGCGGTGAGTTATTGCGTACATCCGGTCCTATTGTTCTGTTTTCGCCGTATCCCCAGCGATCCAGTCGAGGGGATGGGCACGTGNCGCGGTCATGAACACCATGCAACACAGGTATGTGTTGGCTGCTGGCTGCCGCAGTGTCCCGTACTCTTTCGGCATGTATGGTCAACCTCGATCCAAGCTGAGCTACTTGTACACTATCTGAGATCAATCGTGCTACCGCTCTGGTAGGTCTGTTCCAACCGCTGTATGTACCACATTGTAGTTTGGACACTTCAGAGCTCCGGATTCGAAACAAAGCATTGTGCCCACAGTAATAAATCGGAGATACCCTCCAACGTGTGTGTAGCAGGTCTGGGTATCTGTTTCTTAGCGGTGATTTATTGCGTACATCCGGTCCTCTTGTTCTGTTTTCGCCGTAACCCCAGCGATCCAGTCGAGGGGATGGGCACGTAATCCCCGCATCGTTTGTTCATCCAGAACCATCCCCGGTGGGATGCATGGGGGAAACTCACACGACCTCGTGGTCTGGCCACGTACGCGCCACCATTCTTGTGAACCGCAGCCAATATCTAGAAGAATATACTTCAGTATCATCAGATACCAACAAAAAGTAAGAACAGGTTTGACCAACTGCAATCTTTGGTGAGCCGAGTGGGGGGGGAGGGGAGGGGAGGGGAGGGGAGGAGGGAGCTGGTGGTAGACATTGTGTGGTATATTCTTCGTTGTTGTTGTGTTGTTGCTGTCACCGTCGTCGTTGTCGTCATGGTTGTTGTTGTTGTTGGTGGTGGTGGTGGTGTCCAAGGTGCCACAAGAACAAGCAAGCAAACGAGATTTCCAACTGCGGCTAAAGTATGGATAAGCGTGTCGTGCTTCTGGGGTTCTGGAGGGGTGATATCTGCGTGGATGCCGGTGGGAGGGGGGCACTGCCCTACCCTTTCCCATAGGGTAAGTCCAATGTTGCGTCTAAGGCTAACGCAGAGGGTTTCAGAGGTTGGGTGGCAACTGGGTGTTTGGCCCGGGCAGTCGGACAATGACGGCAAGTTGGAAAGCAACGCCTTGACAGCGTCTGACTGGCGGGTGCTGATCACGGAATGCTTCGGGGCAGCCATGGGAAAGGTCGACAATCGCCAGGGCTACACCGTCATTGCCTTTTCGAACGCGTGGCACGGTGACGACCGAGGACTACTATTCAGGCGACGCTTGGACCACGTTTGGAGGGTTTTGGACAAGCCAATACACCTTTATGGACCCTTAACACGGCAGCGACAACGAGGGAGCTTCAGAGACTGGCAGCGATTGGTGTGAGGGTCATGATGACCAGGAAGGGTGCTGGGGTGGCGACAAGGGCCAAGGGGTGGGGGCCAGGCAGACTATAGCGGAGAAGAGACACATGACGGTGACTCCAGTGGCGAAGGCAATCACGGAAAATTCTGCTCTCACCCGAGCCTTAACCTCCTCGTTGTTGTTGTTGTTGTTGTTGTTGTTGTTGTTTGGAGCTTCTTGGCGT